TTCTGCATAAGCAACCGAGGCCCTGGAATTTCTTTGAGAAGAGAATGGGTTTTGGTTCGCCAAGAGCACACATTCTAAATTAATTGTGAACATGTTCTCTTTGTGTACATCGTAAAACAAAACAAAAATAATGCGCGGATTTTCACAAAAAATTTCGTGGATTTTCAAAATTTTCAAAAATTTAATGAAGATCGAATTTTGATGAAGACAAATATTTAAAATTTCAATCATTCATAAACCTTCCCTGGGGCCCCTAGATGTTTTTGACGTTTATTGGATACAAACAGACAGACAAGCCAAATTTATATATAGATAGATGTCCGAACACGAACACGAAAACGTTAGTTTCTTGCAAATTCTAAAATCAAAAAATTTCATATTTTTTATATAATGGCTTACAAAGGATGCCATCAAAGTATTATAATCAGATTTTACTGGGCTGTTGTTACTGAAAAAAAACGTTTCAATGGTGTCTATGCAAAGGTATACCTTTGTGCTGGAATTCTAAGCGATAAATCGGCTATTTCTCTGGCCATTGTTATCTTTAAAAAGTAAGACTAATACCAATGAATAGCTACTAGGCTACTTAGTTTACCATGGAATTACCAAAATAATTTAACGGTCTCTTTAATAACTATCCATATCTTCATTACAGGGATGCAGTTGGGATGCAATAAATAAAGGAGGGAAATGCCAAGGCTTCCCAAGACCTTGTTGGGTAATATGATATGCAATATAATGTAATATATCCTCCTATATCTATAGCATCCTTGTTGCAATACTTGAATGGAGAGATATGTAATTTTTCAACTTTTAAACAAATTTTATGGAGGTTTTTGCACTTTTAAACAAAATAAAACATTTTAATTTGCATAGAATCAACCTTATTCTGGTTTTAAAACCTGTAAAATACATTTAGTTTGTAACACATCTTTGTGAGTTCAGAAATCAAATCTAATTTATGTTTTCGAAGTTGTAAATCCGCAACTTCTTGACAGAAAAATTCGCAATTAATTTGATTGCATCCCTAGGGTTACAAACTAACATTGCGACCCTGTAAAAGTTAGGGGTTCAATAGTGCCATAATTTTGTTCATAAGTTGAAGAAGCTTTTCCTATACGATATTATATGTAAACTAACACATGAACATTACGATTTTTTTCTTTAACAAATACCATAAGACCAAAGAGAATAGATTTTAGTTAAAAAAATGGATGATCGATATATTTGGAAAAAAAATATTTTTGCTTGTACTATATAGTGATGTAATATATATCTTTACAGTTATCCAGTATTCCCTAAATAAAATTTTTAAGCAATATAGAAAAAAAATCATTTTATTAAGAAACCTTCGAGACGCATGCTNTAACAAAACTCAATCTTGACATCAGTTTACTTGAAAAGTGATAAATTATTTAAATTTCCTCCCTTTTCCCTGCTGCAAATATCCGCAAGAAGCATAAATTTGAGCAAACAGTTTAATAATGAAAGAAGTTATTACAATATTTTCCATTCAGTAATTGTGTTTAAATATCAGAAAAATAAAACTTTAATTGATTGAAATCTGACTCCAGCCAGGAGCCCTAATACACGCTGTACCTCTTGAAATACTCTTTCTTAATTTAAAGAAATAAATGTATGTATGTACAAATAAATGTATGTTTATGTATGTATGTACTATGTACAAACCTTGTTGTCTTTTTGCGAACAAAACTATTATTGGAAGGGGTGGGGTCAATATATTTAATTCTGCTATAATGATCATTTTTGTTTTTCTACGTTGAAAAAATATCTTGTTTATATTGAAGGATAATGAAGAATAAGAGGATTTATAATATTTGTATATATTGTGTTTAAACCTCAAGTACATGAGTTATTAACGAGAAAATCGATAAAGCACTATAAATACAACAAATATAGATAGTTTGTCAATTTTTAGAAAAAATATTTTCAAATATGATTTTCTGGAAAGTCAACAGCAACAAGAGTAGTTTCGTATGGAGCATGTTAACTTTTAAAGGGACTGTAAGCTTATACATTTGTACTTTTATATGTACATGATGAGTAACTGATCATTGAGGGCTGAGAACACATTGTGTTCATCTCTCAAATAGTGTTCTAATTACAGTATTACGGGAGTAAGTGTACACTAACGTACAGTGTGAACTGAACATCGATGATGTTAAATGTATTTTGTCTACATTGAAAATACTTATTATTCTTTGTCCAAAGCAGTTATCAAAATGGAAATATATATATTTTCCACGACTTTTAGAAAGTAAATATTAATATTTCTTAAATATAAAACAGGTTGTATCAAGTGTTTAACAATAACAAGCTTTTCTTAAGATTAATAAAGAAAAGTGCGATATCCTTAATCAGTCAAAGGGTAGTGTAGTGAATTAGACACACCGATGGAAGGTGTTCATTTACTGGAATACTCAAAAAAAAAAATTTATGAAGAGATTAAATACCCATGGTTCAGTATAATACACATTTCTGTTTACTGTTTGGCACTTATTTTAGGATTCATCTCTAATTGGATGATGAGATTGATAGACATAAAGACGTTACCGCCTTTGATTTATTGAGTTAATATCAAATAATGATTATCATTCACAAATAATATAAAACAAATAAATTATTGGTTAAGAAGTCTCTGAATTTATGGAATGGTAGATTTTCTTTATTTTTCTGTCCTGGCATGATTGACATGATAGTGCTCCTGGTGGCTTATAGTTGATGTTCATGTGGGTAAACTGCATCAGGTAATAGATGACAATGTTTTGAAGATTTAATACATTTCTTTGCAAAATAGAGGGATAGCTTTTCCCTTCTTGACTCCAGGGTCTCCAGTTCACTGGAATCCAATGCACTTATATATTGAACATAATCTTTGCTCACTGGATCCGTTCAAGTCCATTGTTTTGGTGAACTGCAGTGCAATACAAAACAACAGTACTTGACTATACATCGAATAAAGGTTTTATAGACTGTTAATAGGTCTTCCATTTTCTACTGGTTCTGAATCGTCACCAAGCACGTGACTAAACACTGCCCTATTTACTTTATAAAAAACTACATACCCCTATTTTTTCATTTAAGTGTCAAATTACCATATTCCTCTGTTCAGAATACTCAGGGGGGGGGGGTAGGGACGGGACCAGATTTTTTCATCTTTTGAAAATACGTACTTTTAGTTCTGAAAGATTGGCTAGTTGATATGTATGCAAAAATGGATATTTCATGGGTATTTATTTATTTTCGCAAATACTGAGATTTACGTAAAATAGTATAAAACCCATTGAAAAATTGTTAAGACGACATTTTATAAATTTTTTCGATGTATGGCTCATGTATTAACTCGACTTTCAGTATAGTATTTACAGATTATTTATAAATATTTTATTCATTCATTCATTTTATATTTATATACACTTACACTTCTTAGAGAGTCACCATAAACAGAAATTAGTCCAGGGGGGGCTGAACACACCTTGGGGCCTGAAGACCCTCTGGAAACCATACATTTTACTGATCCAGGGGGTGGGCTAAGCCCCGACCCCCCCCCCCCCCCGTATACCCCGTTTGTCAACATTTGTATCTTAAAATTCGCCCAAAGTTTTAATTTGAAATTAATTTGGGAAAATTATGACAAAAATTTGCTTAGAGCGCTCAGAGACTTCTGTGGAATCCTGCATCGGGACTCACATATCTAGCGCTCGTATATATTTTTCAATTTTCGATTCTTAATCGTATTATGACTATATTGCTCATCAAAAATGCTTTTAAAACAATTAACAGCAGCCCAAAGGAGTTACGCGCATGCCGCGTTTAATTACAGGACAGAGAGAGAGTCTGTTCTAGCCGCGGCGCTCGGCCTGTCGTGTAACTCTTTCAAGCAACTGCCTCCAAAGTAAAATACCAATATTATATAAAAGTTAAATAATCTATTCAATTTGGAATAGTTTCGTTGCATAAAGTAAAAGAAGAAATTTGAAACGAATTGAATTAATGTTGCCGGAAACAGAGCACACCGGACTAATCAGAGTGAGCAGCATTCGGATTCTTCTATTTGAAATCAAACGTGTTTTGGTCTTTAATTCAATAATCATTTACTTTACTGATTTGTTTATTTATACATTTTCATTCAATATTTCAGAAAACAAAAAAGTATTTTAGAAAAAAGGCTTACAAATTATGTTTAATGGGTCAAATTGTGATCGAAAGTCACAGCTTTCTGGAATATTGACAGAACCGTTAAATCCACGTGAGTGATGTGCCTTCAGTTAAATTTTTGCATATATTTTTTTCTGGGTCAAAATTTGGCAAAGGGAAAGAAATGCAAATGTTTTTAAAAATTGTTATTTTAAATATTTTCTACTCAATTACACTATGTCAACTTTTAAGCCAGACAGAAGGTAAAAAAATGTCTAAAAATGATAAAAAAAAACGATCAAACGATGAAAAACGAACGGTTGAAGATATGCTTTCTTTTCCTAGATAAACCAAAGGTCATTGAACTTGTTGAAAAACACTTTTGGTTTTTTATATTATAAAACACTTTATGTAGTGCTGTTAATGATAATTAGGTAGGATGATCGGCGTTGCCAATGCCAGGGTTTTTATTATTCATAATCATAGTTACTCCCGCAATCAGGGATCTTCCTAAAGTTGTTTCGTAATTAGGTCGTGTTTTTTTTGCCAATGTCTTCTTTCTGGATCAAAATTTGACGTAGTGGAAGAAATGCAATGTTTTTTTAAATATTTTTATTTGAAACATTTTTTTTCTTACATTACGTCAAGTTTTGACCCTGACACACAGAAGATACATTAAAAAAACGGCCCAAAAACAATGCAATTACAAACGTGTTGTAACGATCATATTGATTTTAAATAAAATTCTTAAGTTTGTCTTAAACCCATGCCCTTCAATTATAAACACTGTAAGTAGTGCTATATATAGATGCATATATTGATAATCAAATCCTTCCACCCTGTCATAGTCAATCATTTATTCATAAACTTAAGTGTATTCATACATTTTCTAAGCTTTAAATATGAATACTCAATCATTCATAAACTACAGTGGATTCATGAATTGATAGTTTCAGGGACACTAACAAGAGATGAGAAGGATTATTTGGTTTGAATTTATTGCCAACAAATGTATGTTTAGATTTTGGGGCTAGTCGTCAGTGCATTTCTTTAGACATTATGACATTACAAATAGACACTTTTTGTAATGTCTGATGTTGAAGTCTCTAGATTTATTGTTTAAAATAGAGCTAGATATAAGAAAAATAAGTAAAAAAATTCCTTTTTTAATTTATGGAATTGAAAATGAAATTAAACCAGCATTTTTTTAGCAAAAATGATAAAAACAAACTTTTGAGGCACAAAGAACCATGACTGAATTGATGTATGAAGTGCTCGTAATCTTTTGCATCCATACTTTTTAATAACTTTATAGGTTCTTAAATGTTCTAGCGAATTGGCAATAGACAAACATAAATCCGAAAGAGGTGGCAAATCTAAATAGATGAATATACAAGAGAGGTGGCAATGTTAAATAGATGAATATCCAAGAGAGGTGGCGATCTTAAATAGATGAATATACAAGAGAGGTGGCAATCTTAAATAAATGAATATCCAAGAGAGGTGGCAATCTTAAATAGATGAATATACAAGAGAGGTGGCAATCTTAAATAAATGAATATTCAAGAGAGGTGGCAATCTTAAATAGATGAATATCCAAGAGAGGTGGCAATCTTAAATAGATGAATATCCAAGAGAGGTGGCAATCTTAGATTCTTGGTGAAGTATATCCAGAAGATCTTGGGTTAAGCTCAATCTTTTCTAAATTGAAAACATGCATTTAACAATATAATTTACTGTCGTTTTTGCTTATAAACAAAACATTCAGTCAAAATATAATTATGCGAAATAAAATTCGAATATGGAGAAAAACAACAGTTTTCAAAATTAATCAATTTTATCGACAAAATATTATATTTACAATATTTGGAAACTTTTTTCTTATAATTCCAAAAATCTGGCCCAAATTACTGAAAACAAATGTTTCAATCGAATTAAAGTTTAAAGAAATTTTTTTATGATTTCTGATCAACAGAAAATTTCAAAATTCTTGATCAATTAAAAAGAAAAGAAAAATCAATTGAAAAATCTAAAAAGTAAAATAAGAACAGACATTAAAGAGACTAGTTGAATTTACACTTTTAAATTTAATTTAAAGGGACCGTACGCGAAATTAATATGTACCCTTAAAAAAGAGACATGTCTCGTCTGATTTACATTGGTACTTTTAACCATATATCGAAGTAACAAAAAGGAATTAAGATATTGTCGTTTTTCTAGCTTAAAATGTGTTTAAATTTGAAATTAGACATAATTCCACTTGCACTTTAACTTAAAAAAACCATAATTGAAAGAAACAAATTTGTATTACAAGAATAGGGATATCTCATTTACCAGTGATCAGTTAAAGGCTCAAAGAGAACCGTTGTGAATCAGCAGATCATTTGAATTAACATCTAAACTGTAAAGTCCCTTTAAAGTATTATTATTATTGTGGAATAATTAGTTTCTACCTGTACTAAACTGTTAAGTTTACTGAACACGGATTCTAATGAACTAGAGATACAGGACAGTGAAACTCTTAGCTCTTCAAGTAAAATCTAAAAATCAGAACGACACGGTCTTTTAAGTTTCAAAGCAGTATCTTGTTCTAATTTGTATCTTTCCTTTAGTTGGTTGCAAAGCATTTTCTAGCTACAGTTGGTTGCAAAGTATTTTCTAATTACAGTTGGTTCAAAGCATTTTCTAGTTTCAATTGGTTGCAAAAGATTTTCTAGATACAATTGGTTGCAAAGCATTTTCTAGATACAGTTGGTTTTGCATTTTCTAGTTACAGTTGGCTGCAAAGCATTTTCTAATTACAGTTGGTTGCAAAGCATTTTTTAGTTACAGTTGCCTGCAAAGCATTTTCTAGTTACATTGGTTGAGAAGCATTTTCCGGTTACAGTTGGTTGCAAATCATTTTCTAGTTACAGTTGGTTGCAAATCATTTTCTAGTTATAGTTGGTTGCAAAGCATTTTTTAGTTAGAGTTGGTTGCAAAGCATTTTCTAGTTAGAGTTTGTTGCAAAGCATTTTCTAGTTACAGTTGGTTGCAAAGCATTTTCTAGTTACAGCTGGTTGCAAAGCATTTTCTAGTTACAGTTGGTTGCAAAGCATTTTCTAGATACAGTTGGTTGCAAACCATTTTCTAGTTACAGTTGGTTGCAAAGCATTTTCTAGCGTTCTTTCAATTCCTCGAAAAATCTTGATTTCCGAAAATATTCCATTAACTTTATTAACTCACCTTTAATTGGAATTGCAGCATCGCTGGAAGATGTTTTGGTTGCAAGATTTGATACGGATCCCTGCCAACAGATTTTTTTAAAAAAAATTTATATAAAGCGGACCCGATCGGTTCAGCCGTTTTGACGTTAATTGGATACAAACAGACAGACAGACAAACAGACAAACAGACAAGCCAAATTTATATATAGATTAGGCTTTTAGGGCGGATCTCGCCCATCTTCTATTTCAATTGTTAATATTTTCTCTTTGTTTACATTATAAAACATTAAAAAAAAGTTCGCAAATTATAGAAAAATTTTTGTGGTTTTTTTTTTATTTTTGAAAATCGAATATTTTTGGAGGCAAATTTTCAAATTCCGATTTTCCATAAATTCCTCTTAAATGTGAGATCCCACAAAAACAATTTTCACGTTTATTGACAGCAAGCGAACAAACTTACACCCGCCCAGACGAGCAACGTTTATATTTATGAATATGTTCATGATATTAGTAATAATAGAATGATGTAAATTAAAAGGATTGTCATTGAAATCTTAGATTGCTCAATAATCATCCACTTATAGTGCTTTGATTGCTCAATGATCATCCACTTATGGTGCTTTCATTGATCAATGATCATCCACTTAAAGTGATTTGATTGATCAATGATCATCCACTTAAAGTGCTTTGATTGATCAATGATTATCCACTTATAGTGCTTTGGATGATCAATGATCATCCACTAAAAGTGCTTTGATTGATCAATGATTATCTACTTATTGTGCTTTCATTGATCAATGATCATCCACTTAAAGTGTTTTGATTGATCAATGATCATCCACTTATAGTGCTTTGATTGATCAATGATCATCCACTTAAAGTGATTTGATTGATCAATGATCATCCACTTGAAGTGCTTTGATTGATCAATGATCATCTACTTATAGTGCTTTGATTGATCAATGATCATCCACTTAAAGTGATTTGATTGATCAATGATCATCCACTTAAAGTGTTTTGATTTATCAATGATCATCCACTTAAAGTGCTTTGATTGATCAATGATCAACTACTTATAGTGCTTTGATTGATCAATGATTATTCACTTAAAGTGCTTTGATTGATCAATGATCCTCCACTTAAAGTGCTTTGATTTATCAATGATCATCTACTTAAAGTGCTTTGATTTATCAATGATCATCTACTTAAAGTGCTTTGATTGATCAATTATCATCAACTTAAAGTGATTTTATTGATCAATTATCATATCCACTTAAAGTGCTTTGATTGATCAATGATCATCCACTTAAAGCGCTTTGATTTATCAATGATCATCCACTTAAAATGATTTTATTGATCAATGATAATCCACTTGAAGTGCTTTGATTGATCAATGATCATCCACTTATAGTGCTTTGATTGATCAATGATCATCCACTTAAAGTGCTTTGATTGATCAATGATCATCCACTGAAAGCGCTTTGATTGATCAATGATCATCCACTTAAAGCGCTTTGATTGATCAATGATAATATCCACTTAAAGTGCTTTAATTATTTTACTTAAGAAAGAGCAAGATGCAAAATTAATCCTAAATAAAAATGTCTGCTGCCTAGTTCCATCTTGTGCCGCTAGGTTTGAATATGTACCAGGGAGCTGAGATAAGGCGGGAAACCTAAATATATTTGTTTTCAAATAAATCGTTGGAACAATTTCACATCAAAAGATTAGCGCAAATTATAAATGTCTATGGCCCATCTGTTTAAAAACTATGAACGCTGTACAGATGAAATAGTTAATGATAGAAATGTCAAAAGTTTACGCCATCATGTTGCAAAGATCTAGCGTTTATAGAGTTTAAGTCGACCTTTCAATTCCCTCAATATGATTTCTTTAATTCTTGAATAATAAGCTAATTAATTGTAATTATAAACTTATTGTGATCATAAACTCTTGTTTAAACTATTTGTTTTTAACAAAAACCAATGTTTTCCAGCATCTTTTAAAATGAACTTTTCTTAAGAAATTTTCTAAAATGTTGATATGGGTTAGAACTTAAAACTTGTCCTATGACTGGGGTTATCATGATTCTAGTTTGCAGTGGAAACCAGGTAAAAAATCTGAACGAGAAGTTGTCGAGTTTGACTTTCATTCCGACTAGTTTTGTTAATCATGTTGAACTTCCTAGATTTCAAATCTTTATTATGGTAAAGTTTGCTTTATTGAAGCTTATTGAACAATATCTGTATCCTAAACGAATAATATATGGAAATCTATTCAATAACGATCGTTACACCATGCCTTCGTTTTTGTATCGTTTTTGGTACGATTTTGGGTCTTTTTTTAGCATAGTTCTTCTGTCATGATTAAACTTTGACAACATTCTAGAAAAGTAAATGTTTAAAACATGGTTCGATCTAAAATTTGATTTTCTTACACTATTCCAAACTTTGACCCAGAAAAAATGTTGTCAAAATAACGATCAATATTTAAATTTAAATTTGAGTTAGGAATTAAATTTAAAAAAAGAACAGAAATTTTGACGTCACCTGTCTAGTGTAGAGGTTAGATCTGGAACTCCGCAACCTGGATCCGGGTCATCCAGTTGACCCTCCAGCAGGTAGTACCCGGAAAACCCGTACCTGAACCATCAGATTATCAATAAATGAAAAATATTAAAATAAACAGACATATTTTATTAAAAATAACCAAAAGAAAATGCTTGCAGTTTCGCCGATAGTTTTTTTGGAAATATAGACAAGCATAAAAATATTCCTACTGACATCTCCTCTGCCCTATTTCTCTATTGTGATATTAATCTGTACCAATTATTTTTTAATTAAAAAATTGCAAATTTGCAAATTGTCTTTTAAGAATTCTTGCAAAACTTGTGCAATATTCTTCCTTTTGCTATGGCTTTCAAAGTGATATAAAATGTTAAAATCCAATGACCATCGGTGGGTCTAAATAAAAATTTATTTTATTAAATTAAGTTATTCAGGCAGATGAGATGAGGGGCTTGTGCTTGTTAGAAATGTATTGAGTATTTGCCACTAACTGAACAGCATCAGAATTTTGGTTTTACTGTTCATCAATTTTGGAGTCGTTATATTTGTCGACGGGATGGAGTTGTACTTGTACACATACAAAAATATTTTCTCTATAGGTCTGCGACTACGAAAGATATTGATGATAAAAATGGATCCGATTTACATACAGTGGTTGGTGTTTATATCAATACAATGATGACGACATTTCTATTAAACTTTATTTCTAGAAAGTTTTTTTTCAAATTACAAATGTACATAGAAGCTGTTAGTAGACAGCTTCTTTTAGTTTCCATGTTATGATTGAAAGCTTGGTAGAAATTAAAAATTTAAATCGAAAGTCGTTTTCATTGTATTGATATCATCGACAACCACTTTTAGAAAATTAAGAAAATGTTACCCATAGAAAGCAGTCCCTGCGTGAAACAACCAATCAGGAACAGGAATAGTTTTCAAATCTTGTCCATTTAACTCAGCCTATATATACAAGGTGAGGCAAGAAAAATTGCAAAATTGTACCTTTTTTGTGCAACTCTCCTGTAAGGTGTTTTTTCATTTTTTTTGGAAAATTTGTAATTTTTTTGTGGTACTTCAATGGTCCAAAAAAAATCCGCGAACCTTTTTTCTATCAAAATCAAAAGTTCGGAAAAACAAAAATGTGTAAATAAATTGTTTCTATCGAAATCTAAAATTTTAAAAAGATTGAATCACAGAATATTAGAAAATTTGCAAAATTGTAATTAGAAAATTCGCATTTTTCAGTTCTGGTATAATTTTTAAGGAAAACTGCGTTTAAGTCATTTTTACATGAAAGAAGGCTCATACAAGACTTAGAACTTTCTTCAGTAGTTTTTAACACTAATAAAGTCTAGAAACGAGTAAATGCCATCAAAAATTATCAATCTTCACACTAATAAGTTATCTTCATGATTTTTCTCAATCGAGCCCAAAAAAACAGTTGGTAGGTGGCAATACTAAAGAAAACTGTCTTTGAGAAAAACAATTCTTACCAAAATTCCCAAGACCCAGCCAATTGTTACGCCAATAAAATATCCAAGTTGTCTCCTAAATTAATTAAATAAATTAGATATGTATCAAGGATCAAAGAGTTCATTAATGACTTTTAAAAAAGAATTATAATTTCGACTAATGATACACGTTTTTGAAACTATGATATTAAAACTATGTCATTATACTTCTAAATATAATCAAGCTTTGATAAGTAATAATCTAAAATCAATAATTTACAATTGATAATAAATATTTCAGAATCGATAACTAGTAATGTATGTTTATTCATTTTGAAAATCAATAAAAGAATAATTGATAAGTATAAATAAATTTTTAACAAACATCTGATGAGCACTGAAAACAACAATGTGTGACATGTATTTAGAAATTCGAATAATTTTTTTCTGTTTTTGCTTAGAGCTCACTATACTTCATTTATTTTTAAGTTTTAAGACAAAGAAATTGAGGTTTGTCAGAACCCCAAATTTTCTAACCCCTGTATCTTTTCAACCTTAAGGTGTAAACCTTTGATATTTTAAACTAAGACAATTTTATCTAACAGAATGTATAATTTAAAATATCAAAGGTCTACAACATCGGGTTGCATAGATATAGGGTTTAGAAAACTAAATTTCTTTTCAAATCAAAATCTTGCTGCGTGAAAAATTCTAAGAGAAAAGAAATTCTTAATCCGAACTTTGAATTGTTTTTCTGAAAGGTGCTGCAACTACAGACTACTGACTAATGAGTTTATGCCACAAACTTTTATATTTTAATCCCCATATCTCTTCAACCCAATGTTGTAGACTCTAGATATTTCAAACTATAGTTTCTCTCAAATCAAATATTCCAACTTTGGAATATCAAAGGTTTACACCATCAGGGTGCAAAGATATATGGATTAGACAATTTTAAAATCAATTCCTTTTACCTGTTATTAGTTAGGGTTTCTTCCTCCTTAGTCTGTCTAGCATCCTCAACCTTAAAGGAAGTGTAAGCGTAATTTTAAGTGACCATATATGCAAACATTGCAATGTCAGTGTCTAGAGATGGGCATCATATTTGATAACGCACTTATAATTTTTAAAACCGAACAAAATTTTTCGTGAACGATGGGTCGTTCAGAGAAATGAAAACTATCGTTTTTTTAAACGAACGCTTTAGGTCGTTCAAACAAACTTGGAAAACTTAGTTTTTTTAATTGAACGAACGAATTTTCCAAAAGATTTTGAAAAACGATAGTTTTTTACTAAACGAACGATTTTTTCAAATAAACTGAAAAGATTTTACTGAACAATTGTTCAGTGAGAAAACGAACGAAATATATGGAAAATGAACGATAATTTTAAGAATGAAGGAAAGTAAATTTTTGTTGAACCATTGAGAAAAAAACGATGAATGAACGAAATAAAAAAGTCGAATGCGCCCATCACTACCCGTGTCATACCCCCCCCCCCCCCCCCTATGCAGTAAATTTCTTAAGGGACTCTAATCTGTTTTAGGGTGGTTTAAGGCTAAAATATATATAATTACCTCAGAAGGAAGAGAGGAAAGGAAAGTTTGAATATTCTCATCAAAAACTTCAATAGTTTTCACCAATACAGCCCGTTCAGTCACCTTTATGCATATGTTTATGGTTGTTAATCGTTTTCAAAAACGATCGTTTCGTTTTTGGGAAAAAACGATCTTTGAACTTTTAGAAAACGAATAACGATCGTTTCTGAAAACGATCGGTTTTTTAAAACGATTTGCGACCGTTTTTAAAACGATTGTTTTTTTTAAACGATCGCTTTTGAAAAATGATCGTTTTGAAAAAAAAAATTATTGACAATTATGTTAACGATCGTTAACGAAGGGTCGTCGTTAACACTCTTTAACGAAGTTTTGCCGTTAACGATCGTTAACGAAGGTTCGTCGTTGACGATCGTTAAAGAAGGATCGTTGTTATCGATCGTTAAAGAATGGTTGTCGTTAACGATTTTTATAAAAAACAATGGTTTTTAATAAAGATCGTTTTTCAAAACGATCGTTTTAAAAACGACTGTTTTTTAAAAACGAACTTTCTTAAAAAAAACGATCTTTTTTAAAACCCGATTTTTCGTCGTCGTTTTCATAACGAAACGATCGTTTTTCAAAAAAAATGAAAACGTTAACATCCCTACATACGTTATACGTATACAGTTGGAGCCATAAAACCGTGCAAATGCAAAGATCCCATGATGCCCGATTCAAAATAGTATAACCCTTGAAACCATTATATGATCAATAATGTTGAAGATATTGTCGTTTTTCTAGGTTTAAAAGTAATTCATTCTAAATATTCAATTTTTAAGACTAGGAACTTTAATGTCTTGTTCATATTGATCATTCAAATCTTTAAAGGGTATCGTGGTGAATCGGACATTGCCATCTACTTTGCATTGAGGCCTGAGGACCGCTAGAAGTTACGCTTATGGTCATGAAAATAGTCCTATTCAATAAATAAGTTTAGCCCTCTGGAGAATTATTTTGGAGACGATCATTGTCAGACTTAAAGAAATAAAGACAATAAAGACAGTGTTTGCGAAAAATGAAAGGGGGTGTAGGCTTACGGCAAATAGGAGAAAATTGTTAAAAACGACTCATACCGAAGAACGTAGTATCCATACAAATTCAGAAAGTTGCAACTTGCAACAAACGATTCGGACCCTTTAGATATTACAACCTATAATCATTAATAATTTTTCGTCGCATTTTCATACAGCTAATATTTCATAATATTTTTTATTTGTTTTATATACTTTACCCCCTTTAATTTTTCGCGAGCACTCCCTTTAAGTGACCCCCAGAAATAGAGTCTGAATCACACTCTATAAAAGTGACTTTCGGAAGTATGTTTCTAGAGACAATGAACGCGATTGTGTTATCTATAAAGATAAAACAACGATATCTTCCACATTCTTACTGAAAACCAAGGATTTAATGCAAAGAAAGTTATTTCAGAAGTGTACGTATCTTTTGTACGGCAGTGTTACTGCCTCTGGGCGGTAATGTAAACACAAGACAGACATCGAAGCCTGACATGGGATCCATCTTTCACATAAATAATCAATGAAATATTCTGGTTATAGGAAACTATTATGTGAATTATCAAAATTATCAAAATGAAATGCTCTTAACCTCCTCGGATACTAAACGAACACTGAGGCATCTATTCTTGTTTACAAATCCGCCCAGAGAGAACTGGTTTCAATATGTACGCAGAGTATACGCAACTGCAATTAACTTTCCTTTCATTACATTCTTGCTAAAAACGATATTTTAAGGGTCCTGTTGTGAATCCGGCATGTCCCGGATATATGGCGGGTCAATTAAAACTACGTCTGCAGTACTTTAAGATGACTAAACATTATATACTAATACTCTACAAATAAATCAGTGTTAATTGTAATGTATTTTACATTGTAAGAAATAATGCTTCGAATTTAAATAAAATATAAAAATGTTTTTAAAATAAATTTCTCATCCCATGCTAACCTTGTATTGCCATTCTGAATAGAGCCCTGAACTCTCAAACGAAGAGGATGAACCTGAAATAAATTGATAATTTCTTAATATTTTGTTCATTTCTTATTTTACATTGTATAAGGAAAGCTCCTCCCAATTGGTTAATAACGAGCGTTGATTCTTTGGGAGATAATGTAACGAGGCAATTCGGAAATCTCCCATTCTGAAGAAGTGAGGGTAGAGGGTAATATTGGATAATAATATTCTGCTAATCCAATTTTACATCATTTTTTGAATATTTAACTTTTTTCATAAGCGTGTAATATATATAGGTTAACTAAAATATAGTCGGATACTTCTCTTTCTTCAAATGAGATGCAACAAAAAAGTTTAAAGTTTTGCATTTGTTATGCAATGTATTTCAATAAACCCAAACCGGACTTCCTCATAAGTATTTTCTATTCAGAAAGGCATATAAACTTTGTTGTGGCATGTTTACAACCGGGGTTTTATTTCAGAAGTAATGTTTTATCGGACCTAAATATTTATTACTTATCATTACTAAATTAAAACTTTTTTTTAGGTTTGAAATATATTCATATTTGCAACCATGATGCTTCTCTGGTACCATGGAGTTCATCGAACAAGCGATCCTCTGTGATTATTCTCGAACAATACTACATCACAAAACCTGTCAAATGACCCTCAGGAAATTTTTAAAAAACTAATGAGGAAGTCAGGTTTTGGCTTGTGGATATGCAATGAAAACAGAATTGTATGTGCACACTAGATTAAAACTTATGTATCTATGATTTATATATAAACCTGCTGCAGAGTAGATGCTCATAGCTTGATTTAAACTCCGGAATAGTTGAAGATCGGTAAATCTGAAAATAAATGTAAAGAGTCTTTGCCACAAAATCTGATATTTCGATCCTCATATCTTTGCAATCCAATGTAGTAGACCCTAAGGAATATAATTCTTTTAGATTAAATAATCTAAGTTTTATAAAAAAAAACTCTACCAGGTTGCAAAGATTTAAGAATTAGAAGAAAAAAGACTTAATTTCTTTATCAAAAATAAAAAAATCAAAAAGACTCTGAGTGCTGTCGCAAAGAAATGCAAATTATACAATCTTGAAAACTTTTTAAGTGAAAGGGGAAACGAAGACGACATTAATTTTATATTTTTCTTTTTCTCACTGCAATGCTATCAGACAATGCATATTGAAAGCTGAGTAGAGTCTAATGGTCCAAAGTAAACTGGAGCAAAATTATTCTAAAGTTGTCATTAGTTTATCAACCTACATTAATCCCAGCCCCACCCCTCCCTATTCTACCTTCCACCCCTCCCCTCTTGTATACTGCGTCCAATTAAAAACTTTTAAAAATACCTTGAGTGGGTGTTTGATGATTTTACTGATTGTTTGCAAGGAATTTGCATAAGCAAATTTGAACTAGACGATAGCTAGACAAATAATTTATTTACCCGTTCATACTTTTGCTACTCCCTATTTTAACCCAAAGAATCAGTTTTGTCAATTACCATTATGTCAACTGGCTTAAATTTACCACAATGTACTGTACATCCTAGTTGAGCACACTTCTTAGATTTTCATACTTTAACTATGTAACTGTCTTTAATGTGCTAAAGACTAATCAATTTAACTGTATGACGTGTACTAGACTAAACAATATAACTGTCTGTAATGTACTAAAGACTAATCAATCTAATTGTATGACGTGTACTTGAATAAACAATATAACTGTCTTTAATGTACTAAAGACTAATCAATCTAACTGTGTGTACTTGAATAAACAATATATCTGTCTTTAATGTACTAAAGACTAATCAATCTAACTGTGTGACGTGTACTAGACTAAACATATATCTGTCTTAAATGTACTAAAGACTAATTAATCTAACTGTATGACGTGTACTAGACTAAACAATATATCTGTCTTAAATGTACTAAAGACTAATCAATCTAACTGTGTGACGTGTACTATAGACTAACCAAAGGAACTCTGTAACGTCTATTTATAAACTAACTGGCGTGTACTACAGACTAATCGATACAAATGATCCGACCTACTTGTATAACTGTCTCAAGTATACTGTTGACGAATGAAGTCTCTGTCTAACGTTTTTTTCCTTCATGTGAAATTTCCTTGGTTTTCCCCTGCTATCTAACCCCTTTGTCTGACCATGCTATAGGCCATGATAATATTGTTCGATAAGAACCACAATTAATAACTTAAAGTAGAGACGGAGGGTTCAAAAATGTCTTTTGAATAAGACAGGGGGTGGGGGGGTTGAATAGTAATTTAAAGTGTGCTCTCCCTCACACAGAAATGTGCATAAGCAATTTTCCAATTTTTATGAACGATTTTTCTAAGCAAGCGATTTTTAGAGAGAAGTTCTTTTCTCAACGAAAGGTTTTACTGAACAAACGAATTTGTTAAACGATGTTAAACGATCGTTAATGCCAACAGTAAACGAAAAAACAACAAAAAAACAAATAAACTTGTCCAACTATGACAACTGAAATGGACCGATAACGAACGACCAAAATTGTAAAAAAAAAGGGTCGAACCTGTCCATCTCTACTTCTAGATCTCTTGAACTAGTTTGATGAATTGCTGGTATAGGACCAAGGTACTTAAATAGGGTTGGTTACTCTCGATACGCTCCAATGTACGGAAATCGTCGGCTCCCTAGCATAGATAGATATGATCCGCATATGACGTCACTTTCGCCTCATAATCAGTGATGTCATATGTGGATTCTATCTATCTATGCTAAGGAGACGACATTTTCCGTACATTGGAGCGCATCACTCTATACACTATAACCTCGTTGGAGTAACCTGACTTTTTAAGGAACCATGGTAAGGGCGGGGCGTACACTGTACGGTATATAAAGTATCTGTATAAGATGTAATAGATATGATTCAAGGAATCTGAAACTATTGTCCAAGCACATTAATAGATTAAATCAGAGAAAAGAAAAAACTCTCCCCCCTCCTCCCTCCTCCCCCCCTCCCACCTCTTTACATGATGCTTTTCTCTAAATAGCTTAGTCAGGTTTTAAACAAATGAAGTTTTGATAAAGAACTGTAAATCTAGGTGCATAAGACTTCAGACTATTTTTAACTCTAAAAATAAACTTAGAAACTACCTGCAGTCTCCTG